GGTTTGTGGGGGGCGGAGGGGAAAGGTGGGGGTGGGGGGTCGAGATTTGTCTGTGTGCATGAAGCTAGAGTGCGGGTAGGGGACGGCGCCAGGCGGGTGGGGACGGGTGGCGGACCGGAGAGGAGGGAGGGGGCTTTAGAAGATGCAACTACTGGTGTTGCGAGGCGGGCCAGCGGCCGCACGGGTGCTCCCGTTGGCGCGAGGGCCAATGCGTGGGTCAGGTTGACCGCGCACCCACACCCGCAGGTCGCGCCGGACGCGTGCTGGCGCACGGCGCGCCACCACAGTCAAAGTAGTGGCGACTGCGTGTGCCATTTCCAAATCGTGTCCCTCGGTGGCGCTCGCGCGTTTGTCAAACACGTGGGGAGTCCATGGCGAAAATTCTCCCCAGGCTGCCGTGTGCCATTGCAATAATCAAATACTAGTTGTATTATCCCATAAGATGGCCGCGAGCTCCGCGCCGAGCCGACATGCTCCTCGAGGCCTGTCCCCGCCTGAAATCTCCGGGCCTCCGGACTCACATGGCGACGAAGACGGCCGAAAAGACCAGGATCACCATTCCCACCATGACCTTCGTCATCGTCGGGGACGCGTTGTCGAGCAGCCCCATTTTGGGCAGCGAGCACGAGCTCTCTTTTGTTGCTGCAAGTGCCAAGGGAGCACACGCGCTGATTCGCAAAGCGCTCTTGAGAGTGAAGTACACCAACGAAAATAACTCACGATCCAGCTGCATGCGATTTGAGAGTCGTCACCACGCCCGTGGGCAGCGCGACATCACTAATTACGCACCACGTGCATTGGCCATCAGGTGTCCGAGGGACACGGTCAGCGGCTTTCGAAACGAATTAATCCGACGATGATGAGCGGAGACACCATGGCGTGGGGGGCGCCGCATGCCAACCCACATGGGCAGTGTCTCATGGAGCACAACCATCACGCCCCTGCACACATGGGCAGCAGCGCTGGCGACGCAGTCATCCTCGCGCACGGCGACTGGCAATCGCGCCATTTCGCACGGGGCAGGCTCACATGGTGCCCTTGAGCCTGCAGTGCCTCACCACTCCCACGGCACCAGCCCAAAATCAATCATGAGCACAAGCTTCCGAGGGCCAGACAGGCGAAGGGGCACCTTTGGTGATGGCAACCCGCCCCGCCCTGGGCACAATGTTGCAACACATCCCAGCTGAATTCGGCGCGGCGCGCCACACGCCAGCACGGCCTTTCCCGGCACAGGTGCCACGACCGCGGCAGCGGGAGGGCGCCGCACACCTGCGCACATTGGGCCGCTGCACACACGGGCCGTCATGGGGGACAGCCACTCGACCAACAATCGCATGGACGGGGCGGGGCGGGGTGGCGGGGCACATGGCCCGCTGGGAAGGTGGCCGAGGACCTCAAGTCTCCCACGCACGGGCGTCGCGGGGCGTGCCGCAAGCGCACTGTGCCTCGCAGCCGGCTGCGGGAGGTTGCATCAGCCGGCGCTCGTTCCGCGATGATCGTGCGTGCTGCCGCCCGTATGGCAGCAGCAGCCAAACATATGTGCATCAGCGTTTATTGTTGGTTGGAGGTCCAACTGGTGGCGTGTTGCTGCTGGCAATTGTGGCATGGCAATTGATGCCATTGTCGTGTGTGCACTGGGCGCCCCGCTGTGGAGCGGGCACGCACTGGCTGAGGCTAGCACCGGCACGCACTGGCAGTGCAATTTGATGCCAAGGACAGGCCAGGGCCGCGCGTGCACAAGCTGCCGGCAGGCTTCATGACAGACGCCCCTGGTCGCAGAGAATGCGAGCAAGCTGTGAGCATTGGCAGCTCAGCTGGTAAGGCTCACCATCCCTGTGCTGCCCACGAAGGGAGCTCGCAGAATATCACATACGAGCCTGTTAAAAGCAAAGGCGCCAGCCGCCTGTTGCCACCCTCTCTCTTAGCCAACTCAGTTGCATTCACTCTAGCATTTTGCCTACGTTTCACCACGATCAGCACGGGCTAGGTACAGCAGCGGTCGTGGCTGCCACCAGCAGCAGCAGCAGCAGCAGCAGCAGCAGCAGCAGCAGCAGCAGCTGTTCAGACAATTTTGCTGCTATTGGTTGAATTGAGCTGGGAACACTCCCAAGCTACTTGTAGCCTTGACCCCTGCTGACTATATGCAACGCGCTCGCGCACGGCTCCCTTCGTTGCGCCACAAGGACATGTAGTCGCCACCCTGCGGTGCCACTGCATGCCAACAACGCCCACCTCCCGCATCCCCCTGAATTGGCCTCTGCCAGGCGCACGCATGCCATGCGAGAGTGTCGCGTATATCCATTTTTGGCGGCGCTGTCACCATTGCACCTTAGCCTGCTCAGTTCCTGTTGTGAAACGCAAACAAGCATTGAACCCCCAAACGGGTTGGGCTGTGCTTCCTGGGGCACATGCCATAACTCAATAATGCGCCTGGTTTTGTCGCGGCTTCGGCTACAGTACTGGTGAGCTCAGCCTCAGCATGTGGCGTGCATGCATCAGGTGCATAGGGTCGTCTGTCTGGCCAGTAATCTCTGTCCCATCCTGGATTGAAATCCCATCCAGCCTAGTGTTTGCACGTGGATATGCGCAGCCATACACAACAACCATGCAATGCGCATGCCACTGCAGTGCGAGGTAGAACTGCGCCCTGCTGTGCCCTCTTGTGAAGCAAGGGTGCCGTGGACGTGCGCACACAACAACATTTGTCAGCTTGATGCCGCAAGAGCTGCCCCCAAGCCTGGCGTTTATCAACCCTCCGTGTTTTTGCTGCTGCAATTGGGCTGTATTGATGCGATTGGGCTCTATTACACATGTGATACTCTCCGGGGCACCTGGGCGCGACCGTTTTGGCGCACGCAGTGACTGCATGATGCAAGCCAGGGGTGCTATGAGGCGGCCTAGGGTTCAGGGCCATTGCGAGCGAGGTGGGGGCCAATCGAATGATTTGATTGGGGCTGTTTTACACAATAGGCGCACGTACTGGGGAAGAGGGGCAAGCTGATATGCACCAGGCAGGGTCAGTCCTGCAAGACAAAATCGCGCAGCATAAAAAATTACTTGAATTATGAATTCAGCTGCCAGGTCGATGAGAATGCGCACGGGCGCAATGAGCAGTGAGTGAGGGCCTTGCACGCGGCCACAGGCATCCAGCAGACACTGCACCACAGCGGTGGGCGAGGCCCAAGCTGGTATAAAGCATGCTGCCCTGCTGCCAGCGCACACTGCCGCCGCTGCTGTCAATGGGGCGTCACATACTGATTAGACTGGCGGCAAAAATGGGCTACAATTGGTGCATCAATCTTTGCCCTGGGCCTCAACAAATGAAGCCGAATCCGGCATTGCTGCCGGCGCGCCGTACCCCGCCTTTCAGCGGCCGATCGCGCGTGCGAAATGAACTCTGCGTTGAGTGCTGTGTGAAGTCCTAGGAAGACGTGGGCATATCATACTCTGAACACACATGAACAACAACACCCTGAGCAGTGTTTCCAGCAGGCCGGAGCCTTGGAGCGCCGTGCGCCCGCGCCAGGGTCCCCTGATGCGCCGCACCCGCCAGCTCGGGGTCCGTGGGGCTGTCGTGCTGGCACTCTGTTCAAGCCTTCGCGGCCGTCATGGTGCCGCCGGCATTGATGACGGGGTTGCCAAAGGGGTCGGTCGAGCGCGCGACGCCGGCGTCGTTGGGCGCGACCACCGCGGCGGCCTGGCCCTTGGCGGGGGCGGCGGCCGCAACCACGGCGGCGGCGCTCGCCGTGGGCTTGGCGGCGGGCGAGGGCTTGGCCGCAGGCGAGGCGGCGGCCGCCCGGAGGTGCTTGGCGTGCGCTGCCTTGGCGGCGGGCGACGCGGCGGGCGAGGCGGCGGCGGGCGAGGAGGCGGCGGGGGCCATGGCGGCAGAGGCCGGCTTGGGCAAAGGCGATCCCATCATGCTGGCCGCCCAGGCGTTCTGCGCGGCGGCGGCGGCCATCATCTCGGCATGCATGGCCTGGGCCTGGGCAAAGGTCATGGGCACGACGCCCGCGGCCGCGGGGCCGGCGGCGGCGGGGCCGGCGGGGGCGCCGGCCATCATCTGGGCGGCCCACGCGTTCTGCTGGGCGGCAGTGGACAGCATC